GGGGCAGAAGAAATCAGAATGTGGGAGAAGAAATCGGGGGAGGGGTAGCGTTGATGGGAGTGGTCACGGCCTTTAGCATGGCTGGCGAGGGAGCGCCTTCGTACAACAGTTCTCCCATATGTACAGTGTCACAAAGTCTAAGTCCGCCGACCACGGGGGTTAGGTTCAGGTTAACTGCCTGAAGGCTACCGAACGCGGCCATTTTGTCAGTGCCGTGCCAACCTCCCAGAAGACGTGGAGGAACGGCGGGTGCTTCTGTCCAGTGATTAGGAGTCGCCATCGGGACATCCCATCCGTTTCCACATTCCTACTACCTTCTAAGTAGCCGGTAGGCCATCATACCGTTCGGTAGGCCCTCTTGCTTGTAGCGTCTTTCAGTATTTTAATTTCGTTTCGTTTTTTTTTTGTAGGCAAATTGAAGCAGCCGAGCGCCACCCAATCGGAGATCTGTCAGATCGACAGGGTAAGGCTGAAGGTCCCTGCCGTAAAGAGAGTCTACTCGAAATTCATCTTCACTCCCAATCTCATCAAGGCTCAACTTGTCAGTCCTGCCGAGAGTAAGTGTACTTGTCCACTATGACTCAGTTTCTTGCCATAATGAGAATTCTTATCGATCCTGGTTTTGCAGTGACGGAAGAGAGGAGAGCTGCCAAGGTAAAGAGGATGAACGAGTCCTCTAAGCGGCGCCTCATGCTTGGGCTCCAAGGGAAGAAGAAGAGCAGGGAGGAGGACACAGTTTCAGCCCCCCCGCGAGAACTCGACCCCGTACCCCCACCCCGCTCTGGGGGTCGTCAAGGTGAAGAGGATGAACGAGTCCTCTAAGCGGCGCCTCATGCTTGGGCTCCAAGGGAAAAAGAAGAGCCGGCAGCCGGAAACAGTACCAGCGTCATCGGGAGGAGTCGACCCCGAAGACCTAACCCTGAACGAGCGTCGTCGTCAGCTCAACGCTGAATCAGCGCAGGCCGGAGCGACAGCTGCTGGTCCGTCTCCTAGCCGAGGTGTGCGTACTGAGGGCACCTCCTCCAAAGCAGTCGGTAAAAGGCCATTCACAGTTGATCTGGATGCCGATCTAGCCCCGAAGCGCGGTCGGCAGACCTAGCCTGCTCGGGCCACACATGATCCTCAGTTCACAAATGGAGCTTTCTGAGATCGAGGACCTGCCGAAGAAGGTCATTCAGGAGGAGGCTGGCCGTGCCTTCTGTCTTCAAGCTTCGGTAAGCGCTAACCATTCTCAGTTTATCGTACCGTTTGTTTACAGCTTTATCTAACATTCTCCTTTGCTTCTCAGACTTCAATGGACATGTGGCTGTTCGTCAAGCGAGCCATTAATGCCACCGAAAAGGCGAAGAGGGCTTATGAAGACGACAGGGCTAGGGTTGCCGAGGCTGGCAAGGCTATCCAAGCTCATTCGAACTTGGCAAGGAGATGCAGGCTGCCGAACGGCAGGTCAAGGTTTATGAAGCCAAGTTCGCTGAGCTGTCGGCAACCCTGGAGTCGGCGCAACTAACGGCAAAGGAGGCTCTGGAGGCGAAGGAGGAGGTCCAGGTGGCTTTTAAGAAGTCGGAGCGGGCCAAGGCTTCAGAGATCGAGGCTACAGTCCAAGAGGCAATCTGGGGGTACCGTCAGTCTTTCGAGTTCTCTACCTTGCTGGACAAGGAGGTGGGCTCGAAAATGGCGGATCTGCTCTACCGTTTCAAGCGGTACAACCCCGGACAAAAACTCAACCTCAACTTTATTGCCGATCCTCCCCCTCTTCCTGAAGGCATAACTGAAGAGATGATCGAGGACTACGAGGGGGAGGATGCCCCAGAAGAGGCTGCTGCCGATGCCATGGCCGAGGAGGCCGCTGGCTGACAGAAAGTTTCGTATGCTCTGCAATGATAATCTTCTCCAAAAGCTTCTTCTCATTCAACTAAAGCTAGTTGAGCTCTAAGAGATGATAGAAGAGTACGAAGGAGAGGACGCCCTGGAAGAGACTGTTGCCCCTGATGCCGAGGAGGAGACTGCCACTTGAGTCTTGTTTAAGTTTTATTTTATGTATTATTTCATGAACACCTTGATGTCGAGGGCATCTTTTAATACCAGAAGTTTTAATTTTCTATTTTGATTGTCCAAGTAGTTTCACTTTCGGTATGTTTCTGTTTTAACTTGTCTTAGGAATTTTTTAAATGCCAAAGGCCAGATAAAAGTTAATCAGCCGTAGGCCAATAACAAGCTAACTTCTAAGCGCAACCTGAATTGGTAGGAAGTTGATTTAACTGCCAAAGGCTGTTAACAGAATAACTCTGAAGTGCACCTTTGAAGTGCCGAAGGCTAAATAAGGTGATCTTCTAATCGTTAACATGCTTAGTAAAAGTCAAGTTAACCTTTAATCGGTAGGGAAGAATACCGTGGTACCTTAATCGCCGAAGGCTAATAAAAGGATTTAAAAATGTAGTATACTGCGACCGATGGTCTCTACCGCATCTTTTAAATTAACACACCCAAGGTTGTGAATATTTGCACCGTAGGCCTTTTCATTAATGATTGCCTGAATATTTGCACCGTAGGCCTTTTCATTAACGATTGCCGAAGGCAAAGATACATTTGGAGTTCGTTTTACAATTGAAAAACCTGCCGTAGGCTAGGGAACTCGATACTGCCGAAGGCAGTGAGTAAGAATAAGCCGAAGGCTTTCTGATCTACATTATTATCCTGCAGTAGGCTAGGTGACTTCATTTAAAATAATATTTCAAATGCTCTACGTTCCAAGGATGACCGAGGGTCATTCCGTTGGAGTCCCAGAGTCGATATGTTTCCGATCGCTGGATGCCGATGATCTCGTAAGGTCCTTCCCAGGAAGGTTCGAGGGTTCCTTCCCTGGGGTCCTTAGTTGCCGGAGAGACTTTTCGCATGACCCAATCTCCGACTTGGAAAGTGCGGGCTCGGTGTTCTTCGATCAGGTTGAGGCTCAAGGCGAGAGCCTCCTCATTCGCCTTTAGGGCAAAAGTTTCCGTTCGGTAAAAGGGTTCTCCGATTTCCACTGGGACTACTGCTTTCGAGCAAAAGGCGATGGAGAACGGTGTTTCCCCGGTTGCCGTTCGGTAGGATGTCCGGATGGCCCATAATGCCTATGGAAGCTTCTCCGGCCAGGCTCCTTTGGCTTTGTCAAGCTGCCGTTTTAATAGTTTCTTGACTATTTTGTTCATCACTTCGACCTGACCGTTCGATTGGGGGTGAGCTGGCGAAGCGAAAAACATATTGATCTTGAGGCGAGTGTAGATGGCATAGGGGATTCCGAATCGAATTGCCTGCCGTTATCGGTGATGATGGCATAGGGGATTCCGAATTGGCAGCAAATGTTCGTCCAGATGAAATCTTCCATTTTGGCTGCCGTTATCGTTGCCAAGAGTTAGGCCTCTACACACTTGGTGAAGTAGTCTACGACAACAACAGCATATTTGACCTGGCCTTTGCCTTGCGGCATAGGGACGATCAAGTCCAGTTCCCACTGAGCGAAAGGGCATGGGCTTACGATCGGTGAGAGTGGCTCGGCAGGGATGTGAGGGACATTTCCGAACCGCTAGCATTTGTCGCACTTCTTGACTAGTACCCTTGCTTCTTGGTGCATGGTCGGCCAGAAATACCCCTACCGGAAGACTTTGTGTGCCAGCGATCGGGACCTTGAATGGTTACCGCAGACCCCACTGTGAACTTCCCGAAGGACGTAGTCCCCCTACTCCTTGGTGAGACATTTTATATACGGCGTGCTGTAGCCTTACTTGTACAGGACATCGTCGATGACTGTGTATCTTGCCGATCAGTACCGTAGCTTCCGAGCTTGGGACTTATCGGTGGGCAGCGTTCCGCTTGTTAGGAAGGCATAAATTGGAGACATCCACGTGTCCTCGTACCATACGGTACACACCTCTGTCGTTGCTGTGCTTGGCTGGGATAGTATCTCCACCGTCACATTCCTTCCGATCTTGTCGTTTATTACCGAAGCCAACCGCGAGAGGGCATCGGCGTGACTATTC